CCTTCCTGGACCACCCCCAGAAAAGACAATCACGCCTCTTCAAACCGACAGGCACGTGCTCTACCCTCACTTGATCTTGTAGTACAGGATTGCCTGCAATACCGAAAGGACCACAAGGGTAATCCCACCCACCTCCAGACCAGTTTCCCGAGTCTTCGTGCAAAAGCCAGAAGCCAGCCCTACACTCACAGAGGCGACCAAGCCGCAACAGAACCAGATCAAGGCTCTTGTCTTGCTAAACTTGTGCTTCACGTAGACAGCCCCCCGCCTTTCATCCTGAGACCATGGTAAGTCACTGGTGACAATAATACCTGGGAGGCGATTCTCTACGTAGCGCACGTCCCCGAGATGCATGCTGTGGCGGACAGCACGCGTCAGCTCCGGGTGGAAGCTTTCGCGATGAATGGCAACGAGCCGACTCCCGCGTCCTTGATCATCCACGTCTGCATCGGGAGCGGCACTGGTCTGGCGCCCCAGTAGAAAAAAGCGCCAAGGTGTCAGCCCTCTGGATTCAATCATGGATGATGGAGCGTGCAGCGTCTTGTCTTACCAAGGATACCTCGGCGGTCCAGACAGTCTTGTCCCTCATGAGGAAGTACATATAGTCTGAAAAGGCGCTGAAGAAGGGAATAATAGGGGCGAACCGCCTGTTCTCCATGCCCTGGAGCCGGAGGACAAGGTCTTGCAGTTGTCTCTGGCTATCAATGGTGGGGAGCACGCACCGAGCCGTGCCGTTCTCAGGCATGTCCAACATGCAAATCAGTACATATGTAATTCATGCACAACATGCCTAAGCGCGGCACCGTTCGTGCCCAGTTCTGCAAGCACGAGGGCTGCGACGCCGCCCGGGCCGGTGGAGGCGGGTTCCAGCATGCATGGAAGATGCTGCAGTTCAAAGTCTCTGGAGTGCATTGCTGTCCGGGAACCAAGTAATTGGTGGTGTTTGATATAGTGATTTAAGAATAGTAGAGAATATGAGAGGGGAAATGGATGCGATTGACCAAACATTGAAGACACGGGACATCTGGAGGGGAGATGTGCTTTATAGCATTTCGCCCAATTCTTGCCATCATTGCGCACCAAGCTCCATGCCTCCAAGGGCACTAATAAGTTTACCTCTTGCAAGTGTTAATGCTGCAAGACAATAAGAGGCCTTGGTGCATGTGCTATTACAAGATCGGGCGTTGGCCCCTCGCAAGTAGATATGTTAGTCGCGGCACGCGGTTGGAATGGCGCAGGGGGAGGAATTATGGGCCATTGGCGTTGCCAAGCTGAGATCATTTGCCAAATGCCGCCACATATTCATACGCATTGTAATACTAGAAGACTCCACAGAGTATGACTCGACTGACAGCCCTTCCTCGGTGGTTCGGAAGTCCATCACGTCAATGTAATTGAAACATTTGAACACCAGCTGCGGCCCATCTTGCGTTGCAACAATTGATAGCTCTGATCCAGTGTGCCTTTCGGGATAACCTGTAACCAGACACCACAGTGATACGACGCCGAATCCAGGTCCGCCAGACAGCTTCAGAAGCGGCGCGTAACATGTTTATCCATGTAGGCATATATACACTGCCGTTTACATGTTTTGCAGTGAAGCACCCGGTGCATCTACAATCTCCACACCGCAGTTCATCGTCTTCGGAACAAGGCATTGCCAAGTTCTTTTGTTCATTGGTGCTGCTCCACGGCATTTCTCATGTACACTCATGGCTTCCTGGAAGTCGGGTTGGGCTTTGGCTTGCAATGTTGGTGTCTTGGTGAGCGGCAGCCGGGCTTACAATCCAACCCTTGTATGATTAACCACCCGTGACCTCGCAAGGGGGTATACAGCCAATAAAAAGCTAAGAGGTGGGGAGAATAAATACCTAAGTTTTAAGGGAAAAAGTAATATAGCTGGTATACTTTTACTAATCCCTACTATGCCACTTAACAGCCAGTCATAATTAGCGGCTGGACTGCCGATACAGCCAGGGGGCCTTGCTCTATTAACCTTGTTAGGTCACGGGTGGTTAATCATACAAGGGTTGGATTGTACAATGTTGGCTCTCGGAGCCGGCGGATATGGGGCCAAAGTTAGGCACCCCAACCCCAGGTTTTTCGCGGAACCAGTTGACACGTGCGGGCCTCCTTTCTGCATTGTTTCTCTGGCGAATCGGCAATCCTGCAGCGGCATCAGAGGTCCACAACCTCGAGGCGCCATCTTATTTGACTTCTTGTGTGGCTGGTCCATATGACGAGCCCGTATCCGGGAACCTAGGTGCGCCGAGGGTCGGTTTTTAGCAGAGGCTGCATATTGTATTGGAGGCTGTATTAGTTGCTGCTGGAAGCATCGGTGCAGTTGCCGTGTAAGCAATACAGTAAACCAGGTCCAGGACCATAACCTTCGTGAGGCATTTTTTATTATAACACGACTACAGGGATTATATCGTTAAGATGTCATCACGTCACTTTTGGGAAAGAGACCCATTCGTGGAACCTCAGTTGCCGAGGAGTCTTGCTATTTGTGCCGCTGCCAACCTGATTTGGTTAAGTGGCTAGTTAGCCACACCCCGTCATATATTTTTATATACACCCACATGGAAAAGACTATATTTCAAAAAACCAAACCGTCTTTGAATCCAAGTATATAAAGCAGCAGTATCAGGGTCACCGGAAATCAAAGAAATTATCCCTCAAACGCAGCCGGAAGACCTGCAGCTTCAATGGATGCCCTGGTAGCCCACCGCGGCAACGGAAAAATAACGGCCCGAGGCTGTACAGTGTATACACACAGCATTCATCAAAAACGCCGGAAATCGCGTTTTTGGGCGATTTGGGCCCTGCTGGCGCGCGCCGGGGCTCGTGTCATTGAAAATTCAATTGAAGACAGCTTCGTTTTTTTTTTTTTTTTTTTTTTAATGTGTAAGGGGGTGTGGCCAACTGGCCACTTAACCAAATCGGGTTTGCAGCGGCACAAATAGCAAGACTCTTGACGAGGCCAGGGGCCACTAAACATGCATCCCCCCAAAATTGATCACGCATCCCCCCTTAGTCCTAATTCGGAAGGACGCTCCACTCATACAAATTTGGTGTGGCTTACGTCTATTTCATTTCATAGCTTTATTATATGCTGCTGTGCTGGTTCTGTTGCCTTCCGCTTTAAATAGATGCCACCAGATTTAACCATTATAAATCCCTCGCTGGCTTGTTGGGCGGTAATAGCGTCGATAGCTTCTTCTGCGGTCGCATAAAATGGCTGTAAATTAAAGAATAACATGACAGGCAGGGCAAATTAAAGGCATTAATAAGAAGGGTTGCGTTATGATGTTGCGTTGCGTTGTGTGTTGATAAAAAGGTTAAAGTTGCATAACTATCGTGAAATTCTGGGCCGTGGTGTTGTGTGGCACTAGGCAGCAGTCTTATAGCCTTGTGTGGCTGTTATAAAATTTGGTTAGTATCTTTACTACAAAAAATATATGTAAAAGTACCTCACCGGATTAGGACTAAGGGGGGATGCATGTTCAAAATTGGGGGGATGCGTGTTTAGTGGCCCCGAGGCCAGTCCCGGAACGTACACATGTAGCTAGAATAGGCTCGTGCCTGCGCAGACAGTGCATGCTCGCCACCTGTGCCACAGTGGCAGTGCCACACCCTCGGAACCGGGGCGGCCGGGCGAAGGCCAGAGGCATTGAGTTGACGGCTCAAAGGGTCCCGTTATTGTACAGACTATCTCCTCAGCTGCGGAATAGCTCATGGAAACTCCTCTGCTATATAATTTTCTCAGGTCAGTAAGTCTTCACGAGCCATTCCGCAGCTCAAGAGATGATGGCAGGGGCGTGGGAATTAAGCCTTGTGGGCCGGGGCCAACAAGCGGAGTCGTGCTTGGCGAGGGGCACGGACTTTTCTAGGGCCATTGACTGCAGGACAACAGACCAGTTGACCTTCACATGGAGTAAGACAGCACTCGAGGTAAACCGACGAAATGGTCGCGAGTTGTTGGAAAGCCATATTGGCTGACGAGGCAGTGCACCAGAGTACAGCTCAGGGCCTTGCCGTGCTTGATGGCACCCCAGCCGTCACCTCGACCCTCTTCGTCCAAGCCAAGACTCGGACACCAGATGGCAGACGTGAGATGCGTCTGGTACGTCTCCGGTCAATAGTCCTCACAGCCTTGCGACCAAATTTTTCCAACTCCACGCCTTTCTTCTCTTCTTTTCTTCCCGGTTTGCCCCTTTGACCACGTGAGCACGGTTCCTGTGGCAGCCAGCCACGAGCCTTCTCTGGGGGGAAAAAAAGGGAGGGGGGGTGCGGTGGCTTACAGATTGATGCTGCATCAGATTGATTTGGACGGCCAGTGGGTAGCTGGGAGAATTTCTGTGTCATAGAAACTGCCTGTCCAGCTTGTTTGTACTTGACAAGACAAGTTATTTGCCGGTTTGCGGACGAGCGTCCGGGCCACGTCTGAGGCGCCGTGAGCTCGACTTGGTACTTTCAGCGGTTCCTCATGGCCTTGAGGACACAACCGTCCACGGGCTCATTCCGAAGGCGTCGTGCCAGCTTGCGGCAAGTAAACCCCCAATTCAAATCTGCAGTGTCACAAGATGTCGAAAAACACTTAAATGCGTTCGTGTCAAGTCATGTAATTGAGTCTGCCGAAGAGAGATGTTGCCTGGCGGAACAGTGCGTGGTGGTGACTCGAGGTGACGGGTGGTGTCGCCATGGGGAAAAATCCGCGCTCATCAACCATGGTCAAGTGACACGCCGACAACTGCGTGCTGGCTGCTCTAGTGTAGCAGCCTCAAAGTTTCTTGGTACTTTTCGTAGAGTGAATTCATCGAGATACATGTATAAAAATGCGACTGGGTCCCGGATAACAAGCCGTAGCTCCAGTTACAACTTAAACGCAGCTCTTGTTCCGGTAACACTATTCCATCACTCTTATTCTCACATCACGGTACATGAACAAAGAAACTCTCCATACGGAGCACTTGACGTTCCATTATCATTCCGCTAACATGACGAACCGCCACGAGGGAAATGAGTCTGCTTCCTCCTCCTCTGAGAATAACAGGGGTTCAGCCGAGGAGCCAGATAATACTCTCAAGCAACAACCCCTCCGTCCTGCCCGTGCTTATATCCGCGGGGGCCCTCGCAATTATGGACGGGGGCACTGTCCGGGCTGTCGACATGACCAAGAAGTCGACGACAACAACAACATGGACAACAACAACATAGACAACGACGACGGCGATGTCAGCAATAACAGTGGCTTTATAGCCCTTAATCTGGAACCGGATGCCGATGCACAAGCGCGGGTCCAGCTCCCGAATCGTAACTGGCGCATGACGAGAAAGCAGGTCATCGGCACTGAGGTTGGCGTACTCTTGGTCGTTGTGAGGCTTATTGGGGTTGGCGTGTACAAGGGCAATACCGGAACCACTGCTGGTATGAGGAATTAGAATCTGGGGCAATCCAACTGGACCTGTCAATTGTAAACTGCCAAGAGTGACTGGAGGTTGACTAGACAAGAAGCTTGTGGGGGTTGTAGGCAGGGACCTCTGTGCTAACAACCACCAGACCCTTTCTGCTCCCCTAGGAGACTCAATGTTAAAACATTTGAAGACATGGAAGTTGGAGGGAATAGTGACTCTTGGTGACTGCGGCCATCGAATGGAATCACCTGGAGCCAAGCCAACCTCATTGACTCTTACCACATGAAGCATTTTACATCGTAAAATGCAAGGAAAATAAGTGAACTCACGGGGATCGAATAGCACTTTCACAACAAGAGATTCTGGCACCAGACTTTCAATAACACATCTCGCATTTGACTGGACTTGCCGGTCACGACTATAAAATAACTGGAGGCTAGGGGGTGACCTGACTGGCAGGCCCGGTTGAATTGAGATATTGAGATGGGAGTAGCCAGTGACGGCACATCGCCGTCGTATAGTTTGAAGTACTGCAGGTCTTGCAGCTTTTTCAGTCTGGCTTAGTGCACATTATACGCTGGCTATTGATAGGGCTATAGGGGAGGCAGGCACGGCCACACACTCGTAGATTGTATCACAGGACGTCCTAAGAGAGCGGCCTGGGACCATTGTTTCTTGCTAGGCTCATGTAGCGGTAGGCCAACGTGGTACATGCCATGCCGTGGTAACGTATGCTGGCGTTCCTCGCGCCGACTACTTACCATGACATCGGGGTGACAAGATTTCCTTGTCGGCCGCAACATATTAATCTCCCTGGAACCCAGACTCCCACTCATGAACCCTCAGGCTTGGTGTCCAAAAGAGCATTCGTTGTCCACTTCCTGCCCTTGGCCACCCCGCTGGAGACATCTACACCGCGCGTCGACGCCTCCCATTCGTCTGTCCGCCAAAGAAAAGCCCTCCATTTCCCGGCCATCATTTGCTCCATCTTATCAGCCCGCATCCAAAATTCAGCCGTCCTCGAGGCCGTGGTAAACCGAAATGTGGTCACGCAGACGACCCCTTTCTCTCGGATATTCCTCGCCGACTTGGATTTGTCTCCTCCGCTGCTGTCCAACAGGTCGTACAAAGAATCCAAACGCTGTGCAACATCCCCCACCTCGGTGTTCCAAAAGACAAGAATAGACCGAGGCCCATGGTCACTAATAGCAGGAAACGGCGGAAAAGCAATGCTATACAGATATATCGTTTCGAGCGGAACCAGACTTGCGCTAAGCGAAGAGTCGATCCCAAACGGCAGCAGACGACGCCATATGCTGACCAAAGTGGTAAACTCGGCAACCCAGGGCTGTACGCAAATGTCCTTGGGGGCACGTACTGCGTCGACTTGCGCGGGGGTGTAGACGCGCCTCTCCGGCGGCCGGGCCGAGGTGGTAATGACGCCGGTGCAGATGCATGACAGGATCCGGACGAGCCAGTGCGCCGGGTATCCGACCTCGAACATGCCGACGACGAGGTGGATAAGCGCGGTGAGGTTGAGCGGCGCGTACACGGGTGAGTCGCTAAAGACTGGCCGTGGGTGCGAAAGGCAAATCTTTAGTAAATGGCCATACACCCACTTCTCGAACCCGGCCTTGGAGAGGAGTTTCTGAAAAGGCATGACGCTCCTGGGTACGCTGTCCCATACGGTATACTGCTCGAATACAAACGAATGGAGCGGGCTGATCGTGGGTGGCGAGGCCTCCTCCGTGAACTCGCCTGGGCGCTGGGTGAGCAGGAAGTGCTGGCGGATGCGCTCCATGTCGTACATGAGTAGATACTCGGACCGGAAGGCCTCGTGGTTCTCAAACTCTGGAGGGTTGAGAAGATTGGTAAACCGCAGGCTGGACGGCTGGTCTTCCTTGAGGAGGGGCCGGCCTGTTAAGAAGGAGGTTAGGTGGCCACCGATATAGTCCCTGTTCATCCATGTCAGACTTTGCACAAAATTTGTTGGAGTAGCAGCAGGGAGGGTCGAATCTTACGGGATATTGCTCATGTGTATGTAGTCAAAGGTGCGAGGAAACAGGGTCGGATCGGGGGTGCGACTATTCTTCGGGGGGGACATCCGGTGGTCCAGCAAATTGTAGCGCATGCGGTCCATGATGTCGGCCATTTCCCCTGCAATCACTTCCACGACCAACCGCTTCCCAGGGTCAAGCATCAGTATGGAGAAGTTGAAGACGCGGAATACTTCTGCAAGTTTCTGGATGCAGCTGGTGTCGGCCTTGTCCGTGGAGCCCGGACCACGCATCGACTCGATTACTTCCAAAGGATGAAAATCGAACGGTCCGGGTAAATCATTCCCTGTTCTCGCCTTCTATTCGCAAAGTCATAGTCGACGAGCGTATTGTTGAATCTCCAGTTTGCATCGATGTATTGATATAATTTCTTGCCCTTGCCTGACGATCGGTACTTTGCCAGCAACTCGACAAGGGAGGGCTCGCAGCGCTTCACATCCGCCATAGGCGGCAGCAAGGTATGAAATCTCCTAAAGTCCTCTCGTTCTTCCCTAGGCCCGAATTCCGGCACTTCGCCTATAAGAGAAGCCGCGCGCATATCGGCTTTCCGGAGATTTTGCTCGATGAGTCTACGCACGTCGGCGATCTTGGAGAAGCCTTCCCACGGTTGCTGCCACTGACGAAGGACTCGAAGGAGAGGCTCGCGATCGTGGTCTCGGACGTAGACAAACTGGAGAGGGGCAGCTTTACCCTCGAGCCTCTTGATGAGCTCTCTGATGTTGCTCTGGAGCTTGGCCTCGGCGAACGGTGGAATAATCTGACAGCCGAAGAGGTAGGCCATGGCGAGATACTCATCCTTGGCACCGGAGACCTCGTCCGGAACCGCCGGGTCGACTCGCTCCATCATATTGAAGAAGATGAGCAACCTGGCCAGTGCCGCCACCTTCAGATCTAGCACAGTGAAATGAAGCTTGCTCAAGGAGGAGAGGCGAGATTCTCCGTCCATGCAAGCTATTGTGGTGAGAGCGGAAAAGAGGTTACGTCCGTCTCCGAAGCCGGCGAAGAGGATTGAGATGTCTGGTCTTGTATCGCCCGTCATTCCAAGTGGCTCAGTCAACATCTCTAACTGGTCATGGCCTACACAGAAATACTCGGCTATGTCTTGTCTTGACCCCAGTCAGTAGGCGAATGACGTTGGGAAGGGGGACAACGTACGGGCATGGCTTATACCGTGGTATCCGGTCAAGCAATTGTCTCCTGAGAACGGATTCGTCTGGGGCCTCAGCCAATAAAGCTTTCATCGACCCGACAGCTTGGTCTAGTTCAGCTCGTCATACTGATATGTCAACGACCCAGGATAGATACCGTCAGTGCTAGAGGCCCAGGCAATCCATACGCAGCTTTAACCTTGGCTGTTACAGAATCCAACGGGCCATGCCACCTCTTGGGGCCACGAGGTCGCCATCGTCTGAAAACGCACTCGATAATACGTTTAACTGCAGGCTATTTTATGACTTGTTGGGAGGCGTGTAAGTAATATTATTCGGAGCTGTTGTGAAAAAAATATTTTTTTTGACCCGGATATCACCGGCCAACCAGCCTAAAGTACCTTGCGGAACTTACTTCGTAGTTCCTCTAGGCACATAATACCATGTCAGGTGTATAGATTTCAGGCTGCCCCTTCCATGAATAGCTTAACTTGATAGCATCTCTGCCTTGAAAGGATCTGCGTACTTTTTTCATGTCTTTATGCGCGTTCCGCTGTGCCGTTTAATAAATCGGACTGGTTCGCCGCCGGGGCTCCGGTCCCGTTAGAGCCGGGTCCAGAGCATCAGGGTTCTAAACATTGAATCAATACGCGTAAAGATTTTATTCACATATATGTCACGGGCAGTGCCGACGGGCAATGCCCAAGGGCCAACGCGGAGGAGCCGGCTCTGCCGGGACCGGAGTTTCGGCGGCGAACCAGTCCGATGTGTGCAACTTGAATTCATTTCACCCAAGTTACCAAGCAGCAACTTAGATGCGAAAGTTGAAGTGGAACTTAAACTTTTATCTCCGACAACCTAAACCTAGATAAAACAAAGGGAAATTATTGGTTAAACTTCAGGCTAGCCCGTGCATATAGTGTACGGACGGCTCGGCAAAACTGCCAATTCTATTCCTTGCACCAATACGGTTTTTAGTAGTTACATGAAACTACTCCTGGCAGAATTCACTCGCTGGATGCCAAACTTGTTCGATGAAGCTTTTGCTAGATTACCAACTATAAAAGGAGTCTTGGCTGGAATTGCCTGTACACCTAATGAGTCTGGTAGCAGACAATTGGAACATGCAGCTAGCTGTACGATAGTGAGTCCTAATCAATGCGCCGATTATATTACGGACTCTATATGTCCTCCCGTTACGACAAGGTCGAAGTTCTCGACTACACCAAGTCGACCGTCTTGTACAACGCACAGATTCAAAAATCCAAACCGCAAATATCCATCTTCCGCCCATCAGACGGGATGCTATGCGAAGAGCTAGTCGCGCTCGTCACGTTCCACAAATTATCATCAGACATTGGTATTCAAATGCGCGATGGCCGGCAGCTCAACATGAAGCGCAAACATATCCTGTCAAAAATCTCCAGGGTCGAAAATGCGACATTCGAATGGAGCTGGAAAGGGAACAACTTAATATCTGGCAACTTGCGACTAATAGATGACGAGAGCAATACTGTCGCGAAATTGATAGAGGCGTCATCGTGGTCGAGGAGAGGATTGGGGTATATTGCTATTTCCGGACATTTCAGTTCGTCAATCATTGACGAAATAGTCGTGACTGGACTTGCCAAGCTGGGCTATCGGCTACTTGGTGACAAAATGCTGAATTGAGGCGAGTTACGGGGGCTATAATTTTATGGTTTTCGCCAGGGGTACTACCAGATTCTCAGCTGTTGAAAAATATAAAGGCTGGCAAACCTCCTGAATGAATTCAGGTAGTTGGTGAGTGAAGATGGAAGATCTCAGTTCTAGGCCAGACAAGTACACAGAGTATATAAGAATATTATTATCTGCAAAAACAGCTTTCTCTTTCTCTATACTCTTTAAAAACTAAACTTATAATATCAGTACTTTTACTATTTAAATTCAAGTCAAGGGAGTATAGCTTATTAATATTACTAGTGAGAGGTATAAGCACAATTAAGCTATCTTTTCCGGTCTAGGTAATCGTCAAAGCCTTTATTTTACCCTTGATAGCATCCAAAGCAGGCTTAAACTCCGCTCCAGCTGGGTTTAGCATCTAATCGGCACAAGAGCATTTCAAAAATAGCCTCCAAACCACGCGAGACACCCGCCACGGACTATTTGGTTGCTGGTAAGGGATAACTTCTCAGTGTCGTGAGTGGTGCGAGTAGCCAGCACATTATACGAAACCTGTCCGTTGTTCACAACATTCTCAGTTAGACTTTTGTGTTGATATGAGTGGGACATTTTTGGTTCCAACGTACAGGTTCACCATTGTATATATGACTTCGATGGACTTGTCAATGAAAAGAACGTCTTTGCCAGGGACGGGCCAGATGGCGTTGACAGGGCTGACTGCCGCAAAGGCGGCCACAGCAATGTACGTCTTGTTCAGCATGCTTCAAACCGATCCCGAGGGTCAAGCGATTGGGAAGATACGTACAAGTAGACAGAATACAGGTCAGAATAAAAGACCAAGTTGCACCGAGAACTGAGAACAAGTCGGAAGGATTTAACCACGAGCTGTACGCATCACAGCATTGAGCAAGTAGGTCATCACCTACCCTTCCTTTGTGATCAGGCTTGCATCATCAGTCATGTAGTATCACAATGCTGCTTGTGCGCTTACTCACCAACTTTAAATGTAACATTGAAGGGGTTCCCCGCTCCGGGTGGCGTCGCCGGTACTTGGCTCAGCAAGTAATCAATTGATCCAATGATGCTTTCACTGGGACCTCCGCACGCCAAGGTGGAGAGGTAGACAAAGGCAGCTGCGCCTGGCGTCTCTTGCATACATGTATGTATGTGATGTAACAATCAGGGATTGAAAAAGTGGAGTCGGTCGAAGGCACGATTTAGGGCATAAATGATTCTACAATAGCCTATTCCTAGACTAGTAGGGATTTCCCGTATAATGTCAGGCGCCTGCAGTGGCGCGGCGAAATATGCCACCATGCCAGCACAACAGTCAATATAATTCACCGTATTATGTAATTGGCTTAGAACGTCTAATGCTCCCGCGCGGAGTCTACTAGCCAGCACTGACGATGAACAATACTACTACTACTGTAATTCACCCTGAGAATGGGAAGCAAGTGTACGGCGATGCGCCGGATCTGGAGACGTGCCGGATTCACACTGCTTCATTCAGTCCATAGCTGAATTTCTGAAACCATCAAGGTCAATGAATTATTCCAAAACGGCACTGCGTTTTAATTGCGGCGAGACAGCGGCGACGCCGACGCAGCCTTAGCTCTTCACCACCGCTCTCGTGCAAGGGCCAACGTGGGATCTTCTTCAGCTTTAAGAGGAACCTTGTACCGTGTTCATTTGGATTCTCGGGGTAGTACTCCGTAAAGGCCCGACGCAGCAGGGTCAGCCACCGACGGAAGGAATAAGGTTCCCCGACCCTCCGAGGGCACGTCGGAAGGCCGGCTCAATCCAACAAATCTTACTGGATGCGATATCCGTTTAGAGTTCAACTAGGTGGCTGTCGGCAATGCGGCCTGAGGCGTTATACCATGCCAAATACCAAACGTTCGCAGCCACTTCAGCCAGTGCCACGACAGCTTTGTTACGAAGGCTGAGCTTCATTGGAGGGCTAATTAACCTCAATTGCTTGCGTCATTTGCCCGCCTTTGACGAGTCGGATGACGACAACCCATACTTGCTAGTACTGGTGAGAGTCATTCGGGGTCAGGCGCTTTTATTTTGAATCCACCTCTGTGGCTTTGTTGAAATTAAAGTTCAGGAGCTTGTCGTGGCGCAAGGCATCTAATGAGATCTGGTGCGTAGGCATTCCCGCCCGTCACGCGCGGCTATAAATAACGCAACGGTAAATTCAATCTGACGACGTCGGAGAAACGCCAACATTCACCCAGATACCACCGTATTTCGCTGCTTCATCGCCGCACATCTAGCGCATTCTATTTGATTCCAGCGTTACTCTACAGATAGCGTCTAATCCAGCAACAGGATCAGCAACACCCAACGCATTGCGACACCGTCGTGGGCGATCAAAACATAGCCCAAGGCCATCCAGAGCGTACAGGAAATATATACTACTTTCTGGGTGCTCCGATCCGAAATGTTCGGCAGGAGAAGACGTACGCCCTTGCTCACCGCTGCCGTCATCGCCGGGACTGCCACGGCCGCCTCAAGACATGGAGCGAGAAAGCAGTCCGACATGGAGGCGCAAAGACAGTTCCAGATGGAGCAAGAGGCCGAATTTCGAAGAAATCAACAAGACAGGGAGCGAATGCGCAACCAGCAAGCCATCGACGCGGCTGTCAACGAAGCCCTGGCCAAGCAGCAGACCAACCAGGGAATGCAGCAGGCTCCAGCTCCTATTGTTATGCAGCCGGCGGTTGGTCCTCCTCCGTTTTACGCGTCCCGCGATGAGTACATGGCATCTGGACCCGGGCCGTATCTCGAACCTGGAGCCGTCCCTCCACGGCCACGAAGCACTTCAGCTGTTGACTCTGGCATATGCTTCTGTCGTGGCTGTGGAAGCAAATGCGGCATGCAGGATAGGTTTTGTAGCAGGTGTGGTGGATCACTAGCTGGCATCGCGCATGATAATTCTGAGAAGCAGGCAATGTAGACGAGGAGTTGGTATTGACGGACATGGAGCGTTTCGGTGGCAATTTATGTATTTTACGCTGGATTACCATGGTCAATGCCGAGCCGGTGCTTTATGTAATAGCTGAGCAACGTGTCCTCGAGTGGCTGTCGCCGACGTACTTATTGCAATGGGCTAAATTAATACATCTTGTAGTGAATATGCTGGTTCGATTACTCATGTCCTCCAAACTAGGAAGCTACCAAATGATTGGGCATGTAGGCCAAATATATAGTTGATAAATTCTATTTGATATTTTGAAGTTTTGAAATTTCCGACCATCGGACGTGACATTTATTGCCTGTAGAAGATTAGCTAGGTTTCTTATGCCCTAAGATACTAGATGTAATGGCTTAAGCGAGGGTGTTAACAACTGCCAAGTCTTGGGTGCGAGTTATTCAAAGACTAAAGAAGGAGGAAACATGACAATAAATAGAGACCCCGAACACCTAATCTCGTTTATTCATGGTCCCGGCAGGGAAAGCCGGGTCAAGGGCTATATAGACTACTATTTGGCCACTTTGGCCGGGCAAAAAGGAAATGCGTAGATGAAGCTAATTCTATGTCGTTGATAAGGGCCATCTCTTAACTCAACAGAGAAAGCAGAAAGCTTTGCCACTCGATAGGATCGCCTTGTGACATGGAATCGTCATCAAAAATCTCTCGAGCACCATACTGTTCTATGTTGCAAGGCTCCAACCCGGCGCCCCAGTCCTGGAATACTGATCCCGTAAGGAATAATTCGGGGGTAATACACGTGCCGTACGGGCCGTTTACTTGAAGATTGCGGGATGGGGTCCTAGAGTCCTCATCGGAATTTTCGGCAAAGCTTGGCGTAGGTACAGTAGCCACACAGGCTGCGGTATCCAGGAATGTCGTTTGACTTGTCGGTTCATATGGCGGGGAGTCTAAACTGGACGGTAATGAGCCATCTGCATCCGTCGCGGGGGGACTTTGTCCTTGGGAACGCTGGTGGTGAAGCAGTTGGCAAGCTAGGTCTACCATGTCGGACTCTGTCTCCGGAAGACTTGCTCCCACGGAAATAGTATCATCGACACGGCGGGCGCATCCTAGTAAACGAGCAATAGTGTGTATAACTGGCTGCCCCTCTTGGTTCAGGTCTGGTTCCTGTCGGTCCCACGATTGGTTGCTACGCACCATATCGTATAGCTTATATATGGTTGCAATGAGTGTATAGTGATTGTTTTCGAGGATTTCAGCATATCTTGAACGCGTTAGGCAATAATGGACGCTGGAAACGAATGAAGAATTCTTACCCTGGGGGTGGTTGTTTGTATTCCTTCTTCTTTCCTGTACTCGTCGTACAGAACACACCGTCGTCCTTGCACCGAGAGCATGGGCGGCCATTGTCGCACTGAGGGCTACTTTAGCCGTAGCCCTATTTCTTATTTCCTATTTGTCTATTGCTTCGGCTTGGTCGCTTACCTTGGACTTTTTAACACGGCACCTCTCGCAGGCCGCCCTAACACGGTCGTATCGTGGCCGTCTTAGCAGGGACGACGTCCCTCCCTGTGATTCGTTTGACGTCTGCGATTTTGGTTGCTCTTCCCCTGGTATTAGGGTTCTCATTTTGGCTGTAGGAAGTGAAGACCTGTGCATGTGGAATCCAGTCTTTTCGTGTGCCATGTTGTTGGGGTGGGTGCAATCGGCGACTCAATTCATATAGTAGCGTCCTTGGTCGTATTATTCTCCACGTGAACTCGATCGCTTCGCAGCGCGGTAAATCTGTCGATACTACCTGCACTGGAATTGCGCCATGGCCCATGTCGAAACGCAATCAAAACAGACACTTGAGCAGCATGGCAAGCATTCAGGCACTCAGGCGCATGATACAGCTCACTATGCCCCACCAAGAGTTTGCAGCACATGCAACCAGACACAGAGTCGTAGGAGCCTACTTGCTGGCCATAGGTCCATGTCCTGGCCCTAGGCTTTTTGCAAGGCATTCTGGGGCTCTTTGCAGTGTACGGCAGCAGCCTACAGGATCGTGTGGTACATGTAGGCTTCAAGGTCGGGGCAAAGCGGAGCTTGCCGTCATAGGGCCCGGCGGTTAATTTTACCGCGGTCCTATGTAGCCCGCGGATGGGACCTTGCGGTCTGGTGCTCCGCTGCCTTGCTAGACTGTAAACAGATGATGAAGCGAGCCTTTGTCGGGCGCGGTTTCTGACGACTCAACCAAGATGCATTGACGTCGCATGCATCGGCAAGTCCGAATCGTTTCTAGCTTCTGAAGTTCTAGCTTGTCTGATAACACATGGGCAAGGGGTACCAAGCCAGCGGTATTATTGCGGAGGTGACTGGCGTGATGGATTTTCAGTGGCTCGTAAGAGTTAAATGGACCCCAAGCCACTTGGCATGTAAGTGTTTCAGATTCCTCTTTGTAATCAACCATTGATGCAGACTCTATTATATAGACAACTGATTCATGTCAAAACGTTGTGCATCAGAGTTTGGCTAGGCAAGGGTCAAATTGACGGTGGACTTGGTTACCCGGTTGTAACCATCCATCATGGACTTGATACATGGACTCTTGTAATGTAATATCACATCCGCCCCTCTCCCATCTCAACCGAATATCTCGGTATGGGATCGCAACTAATTTCCTAATCAAGGTTCACGACTTGGTAATACAAAAGTTCCGGTTCAGAATACGAGGTAATAAACTTTTGAGGTTTGGATTTCGATTCCATACAAATCCCTCATAATGATGGCCTCACCACATAACTAGCCGACTGCAGTGCAGAGTGTCCCAGTGAACCGCGCGGGGCACGGCTCCATTGACAACTACCGGCGGATTATTTTGTAAGTGAGAGTACCGATGAGGGAGAGAATAAAGTCATGTCGGTTCCACACATGTATCAGTCGGGGACTATGCTAAAGTGGTCGCCGATCAGGGAAATAGGGCATGCCGAATTGGAACCAATAGTAGGTCCTGATTAACGAGCCCACTTTCTGTACTGGGAACACGCAAGGGCCCTCCCTTAGCGCGACGATGCATGTTCTAGACCCCGTGGGACTTGCGAAGTCGGCGTGCCTCTTTGTGCTCAAAATAGCCCGAGCGGCTCACTCAATGCCCTGGAGCCCCACACCCTTCAAATCGTAGAAGAGTCAAGTCCTACCGTTGACCTTTTTGTAGCACCGTTTTTACTTGGCGAAAGCTTATTCACGGCCAAATTTGCCTTTGGCACCCAACTTCCATACATACATGTATGTAGGTGTAGCGGCCTGAGCCTGGTGTCGAGATTCAGCCGCTTACCCAAGGCAACAGCCATTATTCTACTACTATCTGCGAGGTAGCAGTATTCAACACGCTTCGACTCTTCTTCTCACGTATTTGGACACTCGTCGTAATCGCCTAGCTAGTTGTCGACATACTCACCGTTACAGGGGGCACGTAAACAAGTACCAAATGGGAGCCAGCTCTTTCTCCAATCATGCTCGAGCTGTCGTTTTCTCGCGCATCCCCGAATGTGTATTTTATTATTGGGCAAAACGGGACTTGGGCCTTCAACCAAGTAGCTAGCAGCCTTATCCGACAACTAACCCATAGACTTGAGGGCCACCGTCTCAGGACCTTCACCGCTACAGAAGCTCATCGCAGAGACTATCAATTTGCTTCAACCGCCTCATAATCTTCTCCTCCGACAGCATAAGCCTGGACTCATTCCACCACGGCGCTAGACGGTTTGGGTAGCAAATACGAGCCAAACAGGCCATCTTCTCTTCTCCGCCAGAGAGCTCCTCATTGACCCTATTCCTGGTTTTTCTTTGGCTTGCTTGACCACAGTCGACGGCTGCATCTGGGCGTGATGAAACAGCACTGCTAAAATAATGCCCATGGCAATGACTGTCCGTGCGCAAAACTTGTCGTAAACGCTGGTTTTCGATACATAGATCTCGGATCCGACTCCTCCGCAGCTGGCTGTCTAGTAACGTCTCTTTTGTACTCTTTTCTAGTTTCGCTATCCGATCCTCCATGTCTCGAATTTTGCCTTCTTCCCGTTGACGAAACGCTTGCTGTCTAGAATCAAAATGTGAGTTGTACACTCGCAAATGACTCGCCCACAAGGCAGGCTAGGATAGAGAGGCGGGAGCGTACTTACGCAGCTCGATTCTGGGCTTTTTTCCTTTTTACTTTTTCTTCTGACAAAGTTTTATTCTCATGAGGCCTTTTGTCGTTGTTGGGTCTTTCTACGTTGCAAAACGGCAGTTGCACTATTTGTGAATCCACATCCAAGAGTGCTGTGCTAGAAAATGCTTCACAACAGTGCCAATGTGAGAAGTCGAAAGCATTAGTGGTTGGGCTTGATAGGTGGCGCTGGGCTAATAGAGGACCCGATGTGCTGTCGTGACTACAAAGGGCCTCTTCATACGTGGTGCTTAAAAGGCTATCGGGCTGGAATTACTCGTCAGTAACACAGCGATGGTACAAATTCTCTCCCCAAATACAGCCCTAGGAATATTCAACTGAAACATGCAAACTCAACGGGCTTCAAAATATTAGATGGTAGAGTTAATACCTTTGCGATACTGCAACTATTGGCAGAATCGACAAAGTAATCGCTGCTTATATGCGACGGTGGTGTGTATGAAGTAAAGTTGTATGACGAAGAGTCCCATGCAGTGGCAAGTGGTTCAACAACGTAATGAAAATCACTACAGATATTAGTCATTCTGGAATAGATAAAAATAAAGAAGGAACTGAGGCCAAGGAAATCTTTTCCCATGGACACCCTCTAACCTATTTATATGAGAGTAATGTTATTCGAGGCAGTAAATCCACAAGTTGTCCGGAATAGGTCTAGGTCAATGCGCATGCGCCTATGCGCATGAACGCAGCCTAGGAACATCACATTACACGACTTCGCGGAACGCTAACAGCTTATCAGCTGAAATGAAGCGCAGCGTACTCTCCAAGTTTTCCGCCCACGTTTTTAGTTTACTAATCGTAGGTTACTACTTTTCCTGGCTATATATATACCTTTTATTAGGTTATCTTAGGGTAATACGTATAAAAATTAAATACTAGCTGATAATAATATGAGAGTAGAAATAGTTTAAATATACTAAAACTTTTAGCTTAAGTTCAGTTAAATTATAGTAAAGTCTTTAAGGTTTCTCTTAATTAACTTTAAGAAATTTAATTATTTTACTTATTACTAGAAACTTTTATTAGAAACTTATATCTAGGTCTACTTTGAATTATATAATAGTATATTTATAAAATAGCAGTAGCGGTTAGTCTTTCCTCATAGTATTAGAAACGGCCTTCCGGGTCCGCCGGAGTTGGGACAGCTTTACGGTTACCAACTTTCTTATACGCATCTACTACTCGCAAATCAGCATGTAAATACTGCGCTGTCACTTGGGCACTACAGGAGCATGTCTGTGCGGTGGTCGGCGCCCTCCTCCATATCTAGAGGTGTTGAAACCTTAGAGAAGAGCTTCACGGTATCGTGAGTTTTACTGGCGGCTGTGGTCGTATGTGAAAGCTGGTAGGTCAGATTGAGTTATATCCGCAGGATTCCAACTTGCCAGACGAGCACAGTTAACATGGAACAGATGACGGACGAGCAGAGGAAAGAACCTCGGCAACACCAAAAACCCCTCTACATGCACCATGCAGGCCACCCGCATCGTTCACGGCTTCCGAGCAAGACTGGCACCTGGAGGGGATCGTCGCCATGGAGCGGCAGCGGGTGCGGCACCAGACGGAACGTGCCGCCTTGCATGTAGTGATGGATGCATTATTGAGCCGAGTGAAACCATCAACTCGGCACCACTCTGAAGTATACACCCAGCTGACCATGTCATTTGGCCTTTGTAGCTGCCATTCGGTTGCTTCTCCATGCAATTCAAGCATGGCCCTGCCGTGTCCAGGGCCAATGCCGCTCAGTTTGACACACTTGACTCTCAAACTTTGCATGTCTATATAAAGCTTCCCGTCCTTCTCCATGCCCGCAGCGTAGTGTTGGGCAGTAGTACATTTGCCGTCTTCACATCACAGTCGTGGCATTTGCCCATCTTGCCCGGCACTGGCCGTACCGCACTCCAGCCACGACTGTTTTGCTTCTTTGCAAGACATGGTGCTGGTGAAGTGCTCCTGCGCGGCAACCTTGGTATTTCCGGGCCTTGGGCTGCCGTCGTTGTGACCTAGCAAGGAATGACCTGGCAGGACTCCATTATTGACGACAAATTCGACGGCCCAGACACGGCTGAAGTCGACGACAACAACAGCCACGCGTTTGGTCGCACCAGTGGGCGTAATGCCAATACATATGTCAATTGTCTTGGCATGCCTGCGGGGGTTGCAGTATCATCTCGGGAAACGGCTGCCAGACGGGCGATTTTAATGGTCCTCGGCGGGTGGTGGTGCTTGGGCTTCTCCCCGAGATGCGACGGCGTTGTAATGATTTGAGGAAGCTTGACGGAATTGCCCAGCATGGTGAGCGGATCGACGACCAACGGTGCCGACGCCCGGCTGCCGATGGATGGCGCCGTCCCGACTACTCGCACAAGTCTTCTCGAGGTACCGAGAGTCGTGGCCATCTGCTTTGCCCTATATAAAT